AACGACATGCAAATCTGAAATAGAATAACATAGTTATAATTTATTTTTTTAATAATTATATATTTTTAATGATATTTTTTAATAATTTCAATATAAATTCATATAATTAAGTATAATTAAAAATATAATATTTTTAAAAAAATATATAAATTTCAATCATAATTTATAATAAGCATTGGATTAATCCCAAATTCTAATTTTTTAAAGTTCTTTTTTCTTTTCGTAAATTTATTCTGGTATTTAAAATATTTAGAAATTCATTTTATTGTTTATTACTAAAAACTTCAAATATCCTATATAATATATTAGTATATTATCAATTCCTCGTTTAATAGCTTATTTTAAATCTTTACTATATAATGTACTACTAAATACTATATAATATATTTGTGGAATATCTTTGGAAAATTGATTTTTGAAATCAAAACAAATATAAATGTTAATTAAGATTTACTTGCATCAAGTTATAAAGATAAAGATAAAAAAAAATTCGAAACTTTATTTCTTTTACACTGTTATTTTGCTCTAACTTTTCGCTTTGTTTAACAAAAACTTATTCTAAAATTAAATTATAACTTATATTATATAATTTATAACTTAATAAATAAACTTTGACAAATATTTTTGCATAATAATTTTTATGTTCTTTTTGTTCAATTGATTTTCTTCTTTTTTTTTTTTAAGATTCTTTTTCTTCTTCTAGAATTAATTCTTCAAAAATATTCCATGAATATTAATATTAATATTAATATGTATGGTACTATAATAAAATGTTCACAATATTCTTAATACTTCTTTCTCTAATAAAAAATTTTAAAAAATGGAAAAGACAAAAACATCATTGATTTTTATTGGTAATTTATAATGACATGTATGTAAATTCTTCAATGGCAATTAATTATTTTTCAAATATATTATTAAAACATTATATAAGATTATATATAAATACATAATATTTTAATAATTATAATTATAGTTATATATAATTATTAAAATATATAAAAAAATTTTGAAAATTCCTTACATAAATTTTACAATTAACTTAATAGAATAAGATAAAAACGACACATTATGGAATGATCTTATATGGAATCTCTCACAAGGATAATCTTACAAGTCTCCAATAACGAAATTATAACTTCAGAAGCATCGAATTCGATCTTTGGAATTTCGACATCGAACTATATTAAAATCATTCACTCGAGAAATTTGTTTTAGACAGAACCCTTTAATGCTTGGTGACCAAGCCATTTGTCGGCTCTTCTCAAAATACCGAGGAAAGATTTTGGATCTTTTGTCCGTTTTGCGAGATGCACCTGCTCATTGATCCCCGCGGCAATTTGCTCCTCTTCCATCTTCTTTTTCTTCATCGTATTTTCGCTTCGTTAAACAGTTTCGTATATCACAAACTGGGAAATATTGATAGATTTTTAGTAATATTTTATATGATATAAAATATAAAATAATATAATATAATATAAAAATAAAATATAAAGTAATAATATTATATAATATATAATATTAGCTATTATATAATATTAATATTACTAATATTTATATAGTTTTTATGTAATTTATATAATTTATAGTAATATATTAATAACATTATTATTAAAAACATTAACAATAATAACATTAAGTAATAGTAATGAAATTAATTACATTTATTTTTTCAAGTATCCTATTATAATAAATGGAAAATAGTATTAATTTTTTTATTATTCGAAATTTCATTATTCGGATTCATTATTGCATGTGAAAAGATTAATGATTCTCTAAACCATTTAATTTAAGAAAAATTTTAAAAAAATTCTTAAAGCAATTCGTAACATTTTATGTAGATCATTTTATGTGTACACATTATTTTTTTTTTCTTTCTTTTAAAATATATTTATCGCTACTTGATGACAAAAAGTTGAACAATTCAAAAAATAAATTTGTTTAACATAAGCAACAAATTTATTCATAAATATCATTATTAAAAAAATTTTCTTATAATGTTTTCATAATGAAAAAAGAAAATACGAAACACATAGAAAAGAAATTTTGCTAAAATTCTTATCCGTTTTCATAACTCGTTTACATTTCACATTTATTTTTATTTATTTTCTTATTTTAAAATCATTTAATATTCTGATAATGACCATACTTTGACTATATGCTATATATTTCGTTTATTAAAAATATTCGTCATATTATGCTATATAAATTGGTATTTTATATCAATATTAATATTATTAATATTATTGATATAATAAATACAAATGTTTTTTATTCAATATTTAATTATTATTTTATATATATAATTTATAATAATTATATAATTATTAATTAATTATTATAATTTATAATTGATTTGAAAATTTGAACAGCTTTTAATTAGAAATGTTTAATGTAAAATTTAATTCATACATATAATTGCACATCATATTAAATATTGATTTTATTGAAAATATTCAATATTCGATATATAATATTAAACATTGCTTCCAGTAATAGTGTATTATGGGGATGAAAAAAATTTAATTTATATATGTTAATAAGATCAGATAGATCTTATTAGAAGATTTTTCATTAATAAAATTTACAAAAAAATTAATAACTGCAATTGAAAATATGATAAAATTTTTGGTTATTAATATATAAAATATAATATATAAAATATACTTAAAATAATTTGAGATATTTCGAACTTATAATTTAAATATATAATAATTTAAATTAATTATATTTATGAAATGTTTACATTTAAATAATAAATAAGATATCATAATGTAATTGTAATAATGTAAAGAAAATACGATAAAAATAAAATAAAATTTCCTTATTTTTTTTTTATTCTAATTATTCTTTTGACATAATACAATCTAAAATGCAATTCAATTTTTGTACAACTTTAATCCTTAAACTCTATTGTTCTCTATTTTTCTCTCTCAATTTCTCTATATTTTTCTCCTCCTATTTCTATTACTCTTTATCAATCTCTTTTTCTTCTGGCTCACGTTGCAATACTCAAGCATAATTTCTGTATCGGATCAATGCACCTTGTTGAACTATTTCCGTTTCATAGACGAATGTATACGTGTTAACATATTCATGGACATTTTTCAAAGATAGAAAAACACATATTAAAGATATTAGTCAAGAAAAAAAAAAAATTACAAACAAAAATTAATATATAAAAATCTTGATTGAGATTTTTCTATTAAATTACAAATAATTTAAATTGTTATGTCAGATGAAGCAAGCTCTCATATAGAATATATTCATTCAATATTATATTATAATTGAATTTCTAGTTTGCTCTTTCAAATATTTTTTATATATATAATTAAATTAAATATTTTAATATTTAATATATAGTGAACAATTATTCCTTGATGCTGATTATTTACAACCATGAGAACGAAATTAATATAAAAAATGTAAGGTATAATTATGTTTCATTTATTTTAATTTAAATTAAAATAATCTCTGTATATTATATTTTTTTTTGATTGATATTTATATACATAAAATATAAAAATATTTTTATAATTGAAAGAAAAATGAAAAATTTGAAAAATTTATGAAAAAGTATCACGTTTATATAAATTTTTGTTATTTATATAAGACACGATTTAAAATTGTATAAACTATATATTTAAACTTTTGAAATTTTAATCAGATTTCAAGAAAAAGAGATTTCCAATGTGAATTTAAAATATATCTTTAAAATATATATAAAATCATATATTTATAAAATTAAATATATGTTATCGCTATACATTTTAAATTCTATAACTTTTATGTGGAACATTTTTTCCTTTCATATTTTTGTTGTTCATAAATAAAACGAATACACTATATAATAAATATTTGTCATGCACTTCGATCTATTAGAGCATTTGCAACTATCAAATTATAAATAATATGTATATTGTGATGTATAGTGTGTATATGTATGAAAAAAAAAATTAATTTTTCTAATGCTTTTTATCTCACTTTAACTTTAAACTGACTTTTCTTTTCATTTGTTAGATTTTCTTTTAACATTTAATTATTTTGATTTTCTTATCAATGCCTTAATGACGGATATCAATTTTTTTATTGTAAATATAAATTTTTACAAAATAATGCTTGAAAAAATATAAAGACTTATCCCGAAGTATAATAAAATTATTCGTGAAGTATTATAATATACTTTTTATATATACTTTTAAATATTAGTAATCATAAAAAGGCATAACAAAAGAGAAATGATCTTTTATATAAAGCATATTTAATCGGAAACTAAAACAAAAAAAAATCTTTTTAAATCATAAAAATTATTTCAAAAAATTTCAAGATCCTATCTATTATAACAATTCTTAACATTTGACAAGATACACTTCATGAGTTCGAGAAGTCTTATAAATGATAAAAAAAATATCATAATATTTTTAATTCGTATAACTAATTAACTATTTTAAGTAATAAAAATCTTTTAAATTCACTTTTGATCAGTTAAATCAACTAATTGTATTATCGCTGTGCATCGTGTTTAAAGAAGTCTGCTACCCAAGTGGATACTAACAAATACTATACTATATTATACTGTATTCTACTGTATTGTCGTGCACACAGTTGAGCGTTCTCACTTTATCCATCCAATGCAAAATTAAATTATTTATGGCTCGATAAATAAGTCTTATATATACATACACATATGAACTACATAGACTTATTTGTACGTACGTATATATAAACTTCTTTCATAGTTTCATAGATGTGTGAAAGAAGTCTTATAATCATCCCTTTATTTTCATAAACACTTTCAGTTATATGCATGCATATTGATTTAAATATACAATTTAAACATACGTATATCGATTTACCTTTACACAAGAAAATTATTTATTATCAAAATTTCTCTGAAGCGAAATATGATATGTTTTCTAATAATTCGTTCATTTTAACTATTCATTTATTTACGATTTTATTATTCTAATCTAATATTGTTTTCCATTGTACTTTTATAGGTAATGAAATCAAATTTTAATTGAACTTGTTTCGAGGTTATACAGCTTTCGAGATTATACTCTGAGGTATGCTTAGTTTATTGGTGTACGACAATGCTTAAGTGCGGTTTTAACATCACGTTTATCTTGCGTACAGGAAATTTAAGATGCGTACTAAATACAATAAAATATTCTATAAGATAATAATTGAAGTATATAAGAAATTCAATGTAATTATAATCTTTGTTGTAAATTGTTCTTTTTTATACGTCATTAACAACCTTAATACACATTCGAAAACGTTCATTTAAATCTTACAGAGCATTGAGACCTGAAGGTATTGATAGGCTCCTTCCTATAAAAGAGGAGAACGCGCGCTTAAGTCGTTCAATCGTAGAAGGTGAGTAGCAGTGTTTAAGCTTAAACAATCGTTGAAACGATAACATGTAAGTACCATCTCGTAACAGGGAATTCTCATAACTTTCATAAACTTTACTTTAAATTTTCTGTTTATTTTTTTCAAAGTAATCTACTTTTCGCGTGTGTCGTGTCGTGTTCAAAAGAACATCGCAATATAATCTTAATTATTTAATTATATATATATATATATATACATATAAAATCTTTCATTTCAGATACAATATAGGTTCCTTCAAGAAAATAAATATGTCGAATGTAAAAATCATCGCGATATTAATCGCAGTTCTTTGTTTGACAAATCATTTAGTTTTAAGCGATTATTGTTACACCGATGATACAGATCCCTTTATGCATTTCGGTTCATACACACGTAATCATATTGTTCGTGGTGCAATAACTAATCCTCACTTGCCAAGTAGGTAATAGATTGTCACCTTATATCTACAAAAACTCAATTAATGCATGAATTATATATTTTCCACTTATCTTTGTTATATTTTCTTTTTTTTTCACAGACTGCAAACTTCTCCAAATCTGGATGTTGACTAGACATTCAATCATCAATAATACCAAATATTGGTCGTCTCATGTGCACGAACTCTTGCAAAAATATCACAACAATATCTCCGAGAACTATGACCTAGGCGGTGAGTATAAAAATATATAAATAATTTCTAATCAGTTCGTAATTTTCGCTACATTTATTATTAGGAGTTCATTTGTGTGCAAAGGACATTGAAAAGCTGAGACAGTGGAAAAAATATGAATTTCTAGATGATGATAATCTTAAGCAGTTGATACAGCAAGATAAACAGGACATGTTTTCTCTTGGTATACGATTTAAAAATTATTTCCCGAATTTTTTTGAATATAAATCAGTTAAAGCGTTAAAACACCAATATCTTGTAAGTATTTTGAATCCAATATATATATTTTATATTATTTTATAATAATTTTTTTATAATAATTGACATTCATTTCGATCTGTGTATAGTTTAGGGGAATCCAACAATTCGGAATAAAAAATAGCGTAAATAGCTTTATAAATGGTCTGTTTGGTAATGTGACGTTCGACATAAAAATAAAGAAGAAAGATAATTTATTGCAAGTTCGTATAATATTAATTATCAACCGTTAAGATAACTTTTAATCGTATAATTGTTCAATGTATATAATAATTTACAGTTTCATAAGATTTATAAGCCATTTTTAAAACACAAGAGTGCATCACAATTGAAAGAATTTCAAAAATATATAAAATCTGCAGAATGGAATGAAATGCTTCGAAGTATTAGTGATCGACTCGGTTTCTCGTCACCGCTTCCTTTTAGTACAAAATCTTTATTTACAATTACAATTCAAATTTAATCTTTTTCCGTTTTAAACGAATATTTTTTTATTAATTCCATTAATCAATTTAGGCACTATCAAATCCTTTTATCGTACTTGCACGTTCGAGACTATTTATTACGGGTCATCTCCCTGGTGCGCCGTTTTTAGAAAAGAGGATCTCGAAAAGATTCAATACAGCGAAGATTTGATGTCTTATTATCACTCGGGTTATGGTCAAAACATGAGACAAATGATTGGATGTCCAATGGTAAAGGACCTGTACAATCATTTTCGGTAAGTGTGTATAGAAAAGAAGTGGACCATATAAGTAAGATGGACCATTATAATTTTGAAATTATCTCTTTAATGTTACAATTATTAATTGATTATAATAAAACTTTATTTATTAATTCATAATTGATAAATATTTCATTTTTTTCAATTTAAATTGAATGTAAAATTATTTTGTTTGTAAAAATATTTTATTAAATTTTTCTATGTAATATATCAATTAAAAATATTCCTAATTCAAAATTTGTTTAGTATTATGTAATTAACTTTAAACTAGTTCATTTAACACATAATGGAACTTGATGAGAAGGGATTAATTGGATCATTATTTTTGAATGCGAAACATATGCAAAGATACATTGATTGTTGTTGGAATAAAAATGAAGAAAATAGATGATTGAATAAAAATTTTGCTATTGCTAAAAATTTTGTAATGATTATGGGAAAATATGCAATAAGTATGCATAAAATATAAAATGATCGAGGAAAAAATCTTAAATTATAAAATAAAATATTGTTATAATAAATATAAAATTTTATTTTTTTTTAAATGATTAATATATATTATTTTTCTATATAATTTTATCTATCCCATATAATCTGTTTCAATTGCTCACAGTCTATAAGATAGTCGAACCAATTACGATTAATCCTAAAATTATTTAAAAATAAATATCTGAAAGATATCTATTTTTAAAAAAAATATTAGAATTTTTCTATAAATTTAAAGTTTATACAACATGTAGGAATATATTATGTCATAAATTAAAATTTTTTTAATAATTACAGCCATAAATTCATTTTAATAAAAAACGATCTCTCCCAAAATTATTTTAATATGATATATTCGATAATAAATTACATAAGAAATTACACTTAATGAATCGAAGCGCGTGTGAATATCATCAATAATAAATATCACATCATATATCACGTGTGAATATTTCAGAAATTTCGAGGATGGATACGGCGTAGACGAGCCGAAAGGTATTTTTTACTTTGCTGATATTACCGCGATTCAACTTTTGTTATCAACAATTGGTGCTGCCAAAGATCCAGAACCATTGTTAGCTAAAAATTTCATCCAAGCGAGAAACAGGAAATGGTATCAGGCTCACTTGACGCCGCTCTCTGCGAATCTAGTGATTATGCTGTTTAAGTACGTTCATGATTATTTTGTTTCAATTTTTTATTCAGATTATAATTTATTCCTTTCTTATTATTTTGCTAATATTATTTTCAGATGTAGTAAAGAATACAAGGTGAACTTGTACTTAAATGAAAAACCGTTAGATATCGATTGTTGCGAGCACGGCATATGCGATTGGAATTTTCTGAGGAACAAACTGGAAGAAACTGTGTTCAACTGTAAAGCGGACATATGTCATGATTAATGTACATGTTAAATCCTGTTTTAATAGATATAGTATTTAATAATCTAGCAAAAGATAAGAATAAAGATAAGATAATAGTGAGGATAGTATATACTTTTGTTAAAAGTTGCGTAGAAGAAATGACAATATGATAACCTGAACGTGTATGTTGAAATCAATAAAGCTGATATGAAGAATACGGTCATATCCTATGATGCCTTCAAATTTAGTTACAATTACTTGATATTGTCATTTAATTTTCAAATTTTACACCTTTATTGTCAATAAAATTGACAAATTTTATATATATATATATATATATATTGTTTAATTATATTTTATATTTAATTATATGTTATATACATATATTGTTTATTTATTCAATATGTCATTTAATTTTTAAAATATAATGTACATGTCGTATTAAATTTAAATTAAAATATTAGGATTAATGTATTTTAGTAAGTACCAATATGCATTTTACACATATTGTTCAAATTTTTTTTAATAAATTATACAATGCACCGAGCAATTTTTAATCTTCTGTAATTTACCATGGATAGGTATTTTAATATTAGAGATATTAATATTACAGATATTTTATTTTCTTAATCATTAAATCTAATTTTTTTAGATTTTTATTATTCAATATAAATACCATTTTATAATACATGTAATTATTTTCATAATAAAGAACGAAGAATTACATAAGAGTTTTCAATTCCAATTCCACATTTTAAAGTTTTATTCCAGATTATCAGCTCATCAAGATCGCTTGACGAAAAAGAGAGTGCAAATAAAATTAACAAATATAATATTATACGATTTATAATATTAGGAATTGTGTGATTAATTATTTCAAGATCAAGATGGTCTTTAAAAAGAATGATCTACTAGATCAAAATGAAAACAAATATATGTATAGAATACAAATGTATTTTTGATTTCGATAATTTTTATATATGTTATAGAAATCGATATTTGAATAATTTTTTCTTACAATAATATCTACAATCATTGAACTCTCTTAGTTTCAAAAACATTTGCAAAAAAATTTTGTTAGTATCATTATATTGAATTTAACTTATAAATGTATATGTCTATCGTATATGTTGGTATTGATTGCTAATTATTAGAAAAAGCAATCAAGAAGAAAATAATAATAGTAGAGGAACTTAGAAATAAAAAGATGGAAGAAATAATGAATATTTTATTTTCATCGTATTATCAGAATAAAACAAAAGACTTGCCCGAGCGATATAATACAATAGAATATTTTCAATAAACATAATAATTAGTATTAAAATAATATGATCAAAATATGGATATTGAATTTTGATTACTTTTTTTTTTAATTTAATAATCTTATATCAGAATAAGAAACATGATTAAGAATCATATATAGCCTAATTATGGTCGACAATATCGCTATTTTTGCTAAAATTATTTTTTTAATAATTTTTTAACAAAAGTCTGTATGGATAATTAATCTATTACGCATGTAATTTTAAATCAGGATTGAATAGCGAAAATATATAGCCTAACCATGCCATAAATCTTGAATTTGGTATCCTGTTCATAATTTATCAGGCTCGTTCTGACGGTACATTTGTTAAAATTTTCATTCTCAAGTTCAACATTATGCACATTAAATCTCTGTTCTTTTGATAGAGCGTGTAAAAAGATTACCAAAAAAAAAAAAAAAAAATAAAAATAAAAAATAAAATAAAATGAGCAGAAGATTTTAAAAATATTAACATCTCTTTTTAGGTAGATAACATCATAGTCTTTGGTATTATGCACAGTCATTCTTTTGATCGTAAAGCACAATAAAGCAAAACAAAACATAATTCAGAGATTCACATTCATTTATTTAATGGCAAGCACAATTCATATTAGCTCCTTAAGAAAAATAAAATTGCCAAGAGGCATAAGAAAACACAATATAGTTATATTACATAATCTTAAATATACACACACATATATACATAAAAAAAGTATAATAAATATAAATAAATATCATAATCTAATATAATCTGCACTGGTAAGAAATATTGATTGAGATAAACATTTTGTAAAAAAACATATTCAATCTTTTTAATCCGAAATCTTATAAGTGTGCTTTGATTTGTTTCTATAGAATCTTTTGTTAAGTAATTAGATTGAATATCATACAATGATTAACTATGGATTTAAATGAAATACACAATACACGATTCATCATTTAAATAAAATGTTATATAATGTCAAATATCTTGGAACTTGTTTCAAGAAAAAAAAATTTTACTTGGATTTTATATTTTTTTACTTGATATTTTATATTTTGCGTGTAATGTTTCCACTTGATAAATCCTTCATCATTCAACATTGAAAATAATAACATTCTCTGCTACCATTTTTATGTAATTTTTTTGTTATCGTTTGAATTTATTAGATATTTTCAAATATCATCAAAATTTCTTGATATATTATATATATATATAGCATGGCCAGAACTTGTAAATGAATCCATATTCTGATATACAACGAATATATTATCTTCATATTATGTGATTTAAAATATTGAAATTATTAAAATTTAATGAAATTATATAAATATATTTTTTTTATTTTTTGAATTCTATATTGTAAGAACACATAAATTATATCTAACATGTTATTTGGAAAATACATTCAATATAAATACACATAACACTTCTTTTCATTATATTAAATAAAAATGCAATAAAAAATTACATAAAAACTCAACAAAATATAACAATAACACAATATAATAACAAAATATAAAAAATAGTAATTAATATTTTTGATTCTTTTCATTAATCTTATTTTTCCTTTTTAAAACTAATTTAATTTCTGCTGTTTTTTATGATTGATTTTACTTAATTAATTTAGGTATTCAAAATCCTATATTGTACTTCAAAAAACTTCCAATTATCATTATAGAAAAAACTATATTTAAATTAATCTTGAAATATTCGATTCAAGGATCATGAGTTTTAAATGTTTTTATGCATCTCTATAATCTTTCTTCTTAGTGTCCTTTTTATCTTCTGCATCCAATCTTGTGGAATCCCAAGGCAGGAGAAGGGAATCTGGAATAGTTACCAGGAAAATGACCATCCTGGCTTGACGTGTGCTAGGTTATGACCTGAATAGCAGATTACTCGTTTATGAGGCTACATCCCACTTTCCGCCGTTTTATTGAATTCAGGAAATATTCTATGTGCATTGCTGTGTTCATTACTAAAACTTATCTAATATAAAATCCCATTGTATTTGTAATTTAAATTTCAGAGGAAAAATATTTATTTTTATTTCTTTATTATACACACATTGATTTGATTAAAATTAATTATAGAATTTATTAGTAAATTAAATAATTAATAATTAATTGATCATTTAAATTGAAAAAAATATTATTATCAAATAAATAGTATTTATTAGATATTATACTGCACTAATTTCGATACACTCAATGATTTGAATGATTTTGAAAATATGTTGTTATAAAGATTTCATTTTTAAGTAAATTTGTCTTATACAATAGATACTGAAAGATTTTAGTTTTTGAAATATAAGTTTTTTATGAACTCATCGAATAAATATCTTTTTATATATTTGGAAATTTCACGTGAATATTGATTTTAGATTTAAAAAATTCAGTACATGAGCAAGCTTTTTCTCTGCATCTCTATCCAAAAATCTAATCTAATCTAACATAATCTGATCGTTAGATTATAGAACAAATTTGGATTACATTTCTATCTCTATTTCTACATATCTTTTAACTTCATATTAAGTTAGGTGAGATAAATTTAATGAATTAAATTTGGGATAATGATTCAGACAGAACAATAATAATAATAAAATAATATAATCGATATACAGATTCACACTACAAATACTTTCGCATTTAATTTGAACAAAAAACCAAAGATACATATATAATGTTAATATATTTGTGATATATAGTTTTTATTGATTCTAAAAGCCAATAAACATAAAAATTGTTAAAAATATTGGTTGAAATTTATTTATTAAGTTATAAGTAATTTAATGTTAGATAAAATGGGTTAAAATCGCGATATGACATTTATTATTGAAATATTACTTATTTTTTAAAGTGAATAATGAATATATGACATTTATTATTACAATAAATAAATCTTATTTGTGTAAATGTTATAAAATGTAACATTTATCAATCTTTTAGATATTCATTCAATTATTATCTATATTATGCGTTGTTATCGATAGCGAGAACTCTATCATAGTCGAGGCCGCCTAGTGGCAATAGTTATTACTAATCATTCTTATTGTTGATTGTGACTGTATTAGGAGAAAGATAATGTTTCGATTTTGAATAGTTCTAGCAATGGCGGTTATACTGATATTTAATAGGATATTTGCATCTAAAAATCGGCCAAAATCCCATTTCAAAAATTTTCGTAATTCGTAAAATTTTTGTTTTAAAATAAAATAGTCGAATATATGAGGAACGTATATTATATAAATAATAAATTTTTTTTTCATTTAAAATTCTTATGGAGTAACGTTATTTATCGAATTTAATATATAAATTAAATATAATTTCGTGAACTATCTGTATTTTTTAATGAAAATTAAGTAATATATATTGAAAATAAAAAAATATATACTATATATTATAATAAGAAATTTATACGATTGTAAATACAATTAACTATCTATTAATTTAAAATATATAATAATCTATAATAATCTTGACTTTTCAAAAAGTTTAAAAATAGGAATTAAAATTATATTTTTAGATTCTAATTAACTAATGAAAAATATCTATTTTTGAATATTCACGATTCATATTAATAAACGTAACATTAGATTTAGTTTTACATTTTTCAATGATGAAGAAATTGATGAGGTAGAGCATAGATGACTCTTCTTTATATAGTAATAATTGTACCTCGCAAGAGAAAATCAGAAATCGTGTTTCTTAATTTCTTATTCCTTTGCTTCGTAACTCTTCTATTTTCGATGAAAAGTTTCGCCAACATCTGCGAATCAGTATTTCCGTCGGACTTTCAAGATTTCCAACGACGCCGTACCCGTAGTCCGATAAACTCGAGCGCAAAGAGCCGGAGTACGTGCACAAACGATCTCGGAACGAAAGCAGATATTAAAGTTCCCTCTTTCGAGCACTCGTGAATCTTCTAAAAGA